GTAATATCGAAGATAAGTAAATTGAGCATGCCTATTATTAGAATCAATCCAGATGGGAAATTAAACTTAATCTATAAATTGTTTTTTTACTAATCTATTAGTTATTATTCCAATGCTTGAAAATTGTATAATGCTATCAGAGATAGGATATAATTTTCCATATAAAAAAGTTTGCAAATGGTTACATAATCAAAATGAATGGCAAAAATATGCTCCGTTATCGAAAGATATTTCAAGAGTTAGTTATAATAAAATTTCATGTCCGAACTGTGTGTACCAGTGTGATTTTTTACGTCTTACTAATGACAAAGTATATAAAAAAATATTTAAATGGGTTCTCAATGTTGTAAATATCTCCAGTAGGTACAAATATTCTATATCTTTAACTTCAAAAAATAGTTCAAAGGTAGCCAAGACGTTCAAGAAAATTTATGACAACTTGAATATTCCTCTTACTTGGCCTGATTTATTATAGTGTGATAGTAGTAGAGAATTTATAGGTGAAACTTCCAAGCTTATGCAAGAGCATAATGTAACAATACGAGTCATTGGTACATACAATCATCATGGTATGGTGATTGTGAAATGATTTAATAAAACTCTAGTGGAAATACTATATAAAGTCCAATATGCTGTCAAAAGTATAACTTCAAATTCTAAATTAATAAGAGAGTAGGTTAAATATTTGCCAGAAGTTATCGATTACCTAAATAATTATTTGATATATTTTATTAGAGCTCCTGGATCGAAGAAATGGGAATTGGCACCTATAAAAGCAATTAAGTTAGAAAAGGTTGAATCTAGGTCATCTACAAAATATAAATATTCTGCCAGCAAAAATAAATAAAATAAGTTAAAAATGGGGGAATAGTATTTGTTACCTGCTTGCTAATGTGGAGTGGAAAGGTAGCATAGAAAATCAGAGATATGTAACGGATTTCATATTTTTACCATCTATTCATAAAATCTGTAAAATTGTAGTAACAAAAAATGAACCGGTTTTATATTATCTCAGAAATGATAAATATGCTTCAAAATGTAAATTTGTGAAAGAAGAGCTGATGCAAATAGATCTAGAAAAACTCCAGTATCCATCCCAAAGTATATTGGAAGAAAATAATTATTCCAGGTTTGTTAATTTCGTTCATATTATTAATAAAATGGCTAAGGCTGAAGAATATATAAAAAAGCACAATGGAAAGTGTCTTGGTAAAACTAATCAAATAAATAGTTACAATATATATCTCTGGACATGTGGATCCTATCAATGATATGCACCTTATAAAATCCAGAAGTGGAAATTCAAATAGTACACATTTTGTTCACATTTTAAAGGTGAGGAATCCACTTGATATATTTTCGAAGATCTGCTAGATAAGAAATTTCCACCTTGTAAACCATCATTTTTGAATGGAATGCAATTAGATGGATATAACGAAGAGTTAAAATTGATATTGAATTCCAGAAGCCTTAACATTTTTCTGAGAATCCAATGTTCTATAAGAGAGGCAAGATAGACTTAGATAGTCAACAGACATGTGATCAAAAAAAGTGAGATGTATATAAAAGAGAGAATATAGATCTTATTGAAATACTGTATATATATAATTTACTTCCCTATATCAAAAATGAATTGCTTAAAAAAGGATATTTAAAAAATACAATTATTAATAAATACGATAATTGATACTATCTTATTAGCTAATAATATCATACTCTAAATTCAATTGTGATGGAATATTCGGATACCTTACTATTGGTGCCAATGGAATGTCTTTGAATTTATATTAAAGATGCATTATAATTTTATTAGTAATGTCATAAGGGATATTTAACAAGACTTTTTCACAATCTTTTTGTATTACACATATTAACTATCTGATATGTATTAATCAACCTCTTTTACCATTATATCCAGTATGGAGCAAGAAATAAAATCATCTAACACAATATTGGTTACTATTCTTTGATCTGCAATAATTTTTTGAAATAGTTATTGATCTTTCTCCGTTTCTGGAAAATGAATCTCATTGGATTTAAAACCTATAAATTCAGAAAGTTGTTTATAAAGCTCAACTATTATATAATATGTAATATTTAATTTATAAATCAAAAATGATAAACATAATTTTGTTTAGGAATAAGTAACAATCTGTGCCATTATTTTTTATTATAATAGTTAATGACAAGATAAAAATAGAAAAGCTTAACCCTGTTGAAAGGATGATTTTGAATATTGATGAATACAAAAATATAGAGAGATTTAATGGTCTTAATTCAACACCTCAATAGCCTTTCAACTTATTAGTCAGCAGATAAATCAGATAAGAAAAAACTAACAAAGTTATTAACCTTTTACATGAAAATAAAATGTATCAATTGTTTAATAGAAAAAAAGGTAGAACAAAATATATTAAGAATGATGATTTAATTTTAATAGGTCATTGATTAATGAGCCCAAGTATAAATATCTCCAAGATTACTATAAAATAATTGCAAATAGTCCTAAATAATATTATGAAGATGTTACATTTCGAGTAATAAAACCCAATAAAATATCAAAAGTTGATGATTTTTCTTCTGAAAGAGGAACAGTAATTATATTCAAAGATATATATACAGAACTTAAAAAAATACAAGAAAAAATTGCCTGTTATTTTACTGAAGGGTGTTATAAAAATATTAGTAATATATATACTACACAATCCTTTTTTGACTGTCCAAAATTAATAAGAAAAAATTTCAATTATATTATTCTCTTTAATGGCAGTGGGATATATAATGAACTAGTTAACATTGTCTGACGTTATACAAAAAAATGGCATGATGTTGTTGATATACTTGATAAAAATTTGCAAGGTAAAGAATTTATTATTATTAATTTAATCAGAGCTAAGAAGGATCTGCTCTATATTTGCAAGGGATGGGATCAAGCACTTGATTTTTCTAATAAATAGAGCATGATTTACAATGATAAAATAATAATTTTTTTTTCGTTATTTATTAATACAACAATATATATGTAAATACATTCTACTTGCCACTTCTTATATAATTTGGAAAAATGTACGTATCCAGCCTAGTGTTGAAATTAAGGTGGATGTGTAGGCTTTTTAAATCATTGCTTCATAATAATAATATCAAGTCTGATTTATTGTCTATACTAGAGATTTTTGTATTCCATAAAATATATTAATATGAAAAAAAATCAAAGTAAAAAATGTTATTGACTCTCAGGATAATGAAATAAAGTCTATACTCCTTTTTTTAAAAGTCGCTTTTAGAATCTAACCTGCAATTGACTCTTTTTAGAATATAATATTCTTTATATTGTCTATTAATAATGGAACTATGCATTATAGGATCATTTTTAAATAATTTAATCCATTTATTATGCCATTGATTAAATTGTTTCTGAGTCTGAGGATTTTTTACTTTACGTTTCATTAAATCTAAAAAAATTTCATCAGAAATATTATTATTTCTTAACAAATTTCAAGCTTGAGTGGCTAATGATTCAGGTCTATTCTTGTAATTTCTCCAAGCTCTTTGTATAATCCTTGCTTTTTCAAAATTAATCTTTGGTTTGTCACATTCATTATCCCAATAATTGATCATCAAATCACTAGATACAAGATAATCAACATATCTTTGTTTAGTAAAATGGAATGTTTTTTGGGGCTATATATCATTGATTTTTATGAGTTTTAGCAACCAAAACAAATAGCCATATGATTTTTATGAATTCTTGATCTATAATAATTGAAATTGACAAATTTACCTTTATCAAATGATATGAATAAATATAACTGGTGATATACATTAAATTTTCTGGTATTTAATAAATTCTGTAAAAGTACTCTGATCTGTATTGCCTATTGAACTGGTATTTCATTCTGTTTTATGATAAATAATGTGTCAAATAATCTCTTATTATTAAAGAGTTCATCCATCAAAAGCCAAGTAATTTCCAATATATGACACAACATATTTCATATCATATCCAGGATAAATGTTAAAGGATTTGAGTAATGTTTTATCTTTCTTATCGAGAATAATAGCAATATTAAAACCTAACATATTTATTGATTATATCGTATTTAGAAGATTTAAACCTATTAGACTTATTAGTTTTGGTTTGATATACTGTACATAATTAAATCCGAATTCATTTTTAGTGCAGACTGGATTCTTTATACTGTGTAATAATATGATTTATTTTTGTACAGATCTCAGGATCGAAGGGACAACCCTAAAGGGTTATAATAAAATAAACACATGATTTTGGATGAACCAGTTCGCTGAAATTTTGCCAAGAAAAAATCTCGATCATATGTGATTACTGTATTCTCCCGGTTATAAGCACCCCTTTTTAGGGGTTTACGTTAGATTTATTTTTATAGGGATGTTTATAATCAGAAGAAATTATTTTTTTAATAATTTGATCAATATCGATCCGATTTGGATAAAAAATATACCATTAAAAAGCCCTCATTGAGAGGAATCTAATGGTATAATTTTTATTAAAATCCAATCATTAGATACCGAGATATATTAATTTTTGTGTTGTTTTTTTTAAAAAATTATAGGGGTGCTTATAACCGGGAGAATACGATATATAATGTATGTATTAAAATTCTCGGCACTTTGTTTCGGCTCACCGAAATATACATACAATTATATATGCGAATTCGACCCTCCATGGGTCAATTTTAAAGATGCAAAAATAAAAATAAATTACGTATAGGATAACTATACACTATACAATAAATTGCAATCAGTATTTGCATAAATGGCACATTTTTCCAATGCAAATAGCTACACCCAAATTTTACTATATATTATCAGTAAATGCCAAACTAATGTAAGGAAAAAAGATATACCGATAAAAACAAATAGACCAATTATATCTAATAATATACCTCAAAAAGAACATCACTCTATGGTTATCCTAAATATCGCAATACACATTAACTATAGTAATAAACATCAGCCAGGACTCATTTGATTTTGGTGATTTTTTTAAATTCTGGTGTCCCAAGTGTTGATCGACACCATGTTTTGAGCTCGACGTTTTCGGAGTCTTCTTTATCCTTACTTATTGCCGAAAAGACTTTCTTCGAAGCTCGATCGTATGCTATCTAGAGATGTTTTGAAGTCAATGTATACGGAATCGATCGTAATTGATGAAATTCAGTAGTTATACCTGAAATGTCCGAAGAATATCTAATCCGTTTAAAAACATGCTACAGATCTCAAAGGACCTTGGAAGTTCTATATTACCCGCATCTACCATTATGTATACACCAGTTGCGATCAAGATCATGAAATATCCGGTCCATTTTGTTACTGTGGTAATGAATTAGACTGAATAATATTAATTAAACCGAATTTCTTGGAGAACCGACCAGTTTACCAATAGATTGCCATGCAAATACAATAGAATTGACCCCGGTTTTCTGCAGAATATTATCTAAAGAATCCTTCATAAAAATTCCCAAACGAATGAGATCAGTTAAGTTCTTCTTTTCCGTATTATTTTTACCTTCACCTGTTACCTCTCCATACATCATCTCATAGGCAAACCTTCCTGTTTATGTTAAAGGAAAAATTTTGAAAACTCTGGTTTATGTTTTTTCATGAAAAAAAAAATTATTTCTAATACCATTATGTAGAACATTTCCAATCATGTCCGGTTGCTTAGCACGAGAAGGGTCATTATTAGCGAGCTTCCGAACCTTGGCACTACTACTGGATGTATTTGGCCATATCGTGGGGTAAACAGAAACATCGTGAAAGAAAATGCGCAACACAGGACTGATTATGTTTGATATTAATGTTCCTTCACTAATTTTTTCTTTCGATAAATGTATTGGAATATTACTAGCTCTGCAAAATAAAGAAAACTTTAGCAAGTACCACAGACATTTCATGAAAATCAGGTTAAAAGTAAATATCGTATTTACAATTGTTGAAATAATAATTGCATCTTCTGAAAAAGTTCAAGCTCTTCTGGTGTATTGAATGCTTTTGAATAAGACTCTATTATCGATTTCCGAAGCCTAATTAATCCACCATCGTCGTCAAGAGCAATCTAAAGTGAAATTATTAGCAAAGAGAATAATGAAAGTCACGAGAAAACACCGTACCTCAACGTATTCTTGAAGGATCGACTTAATATCTTTAGATAATTTTTCTTTCCCAAGAATCTTTGACCTGGTATCCTTTCTTAGATCCTCAAGTGTATCTCTGGAAAACTTTTTTATTTGCATGTCGGAGTAATCATCTGTTTGTAGTAAGAGAACATGCGATAGACTCCTAAAGTTTCAAAGAATAAATATCGTTTACTAACATGTTAATCTACTAAAAAGATCCTGTTTAGAATTCTGCTTACAAGATTTCACGATAATTTTTTGTAACAGACAAACCAAACTCTTGCGCCAGAGACAATGCTTCAGATCGATATGATTTAAACAACAATGAACTATTCTTCGCTTTGAAAATGAACTATCAAACCCTATTATTTCTGTGTTTAGTGCTAATTCACCTTCACTCTCCTCATCACTCTCCTCATTACTATCACCACTCTCATCATGTTCATCACTCTTGTACTTTGTAAACATAAGACCAGTCAGTTTGAGTCAACGAAAAAATATATATAAAAACAAAATTATATTTATGGCACCGACACTATCATCATCAGTCTTTGCGAGTACCCGTCTCTTTGATCTTGATTCATCCTCCAGATTATCCTCCAATGAATTTGTTATTGGGCAAGGCGTAGTGTACCCATCTCGTTCTTTCCTCTTTAATATTCTCATTAATTTATCCTAAATTATATACCGGCAAGGCGTAGTGTACCCATCTCGTTCTTTCCTCTTTAATATTCTCATTAATTTATCCTAAATTATATACCGAATAAATCCATAAATAATTCAACAAGATAAAGAAAACACGTGTCAATTACCTCACCATCTCGGGATGGGTACAAACTACCGAGATCTTGGTGTTGAATATTAGTAACATGTTGCTGACTCTGGTTCGTTGCCTTGAACATGTGCAGGATTCCATCAGCCTTGTTGGAGTCATGTTGGTAATTAGGATCACCGCGTTGACACTGAAACTAAAAAACACATCACACGCACTTACTCTTGTGATATTTATTCGATCTTCGTACAATTTTTTCTCGATCGATACCCAAAAAGCTTCGACACTTTCAGAAGATTTCTCAATCTTTTCTTGTCAGAGAAAACGGACATTAGTATAAGATTTTTTTGAAATTACCATATAACCCATATAACCAAAAACAAAAGGCTAAGATGGACCATAACACAGCACACAGCCTGACAACCAGTTAGGACGCACCAATCCAGTTGCGTTATGGCATTATCATGTAGCATATTCAAGAACGCCCGAGGAAAGACGCACTCCACTATCACCCGCCAAAGCGCATTCAGCTGGCTACTCGGGGTTTGTCAATACGTCACGTAATTGTCTCTGGACCGGAACGTATTCTAGCTCTTGAACCCATCCGCCTCAACCAGTAATAACATAACATTACTTAACATCGAAACCTTGAATACACTCTTGAGCTTGCTTGTGATTTTCGGGAAACGAGTCCAAAGCTTTCCTATACAACATATGTTCCCTATTTTTTCATATGTAAAATCGTCGAAACTCTTTCTATACTGAAGAAATTTAAGTAGGGACCAAGTCGAATTATTTTCGAAGAAATCTTTAATTGCTTGTGATTCGTTCGACGTTTCGACATTGTTTTTGTTAGGTAATCACGATTTACCCGTGCATAAATACTGTACATTATTGGAAGTGCGACAAGCTTAAGTTACGCAAATCACATGGAAAAATAACAGAACAATATATATATATTACAAGACATTGATTTATAACATATTTAATCTTACAAAAACAATTTATTTATAAATAATATTAAAGTGAAATCTCTTAATTATTGTTTTTTTCATGTAATATTTTATTGACAATTTTATATATTGTTCAATGAAACTTATATCAATGTATTATTGAAATCAAAAGTAACAAAAAAATTTTTAACTAGTATCTAAATATCTAAGAAGAATGGTTAAAATTAAATTTTCTTTACTAATTTAAAAAATAATCAATATATATAACAAAAATTTATAAAAATTATATATGTATATCAAATCTAAATCCAAATTAATATTGATTAAAATTATTTAATAAAATAACTTTCTATTATATTTTTTCAAAAACCCTTTAATTAATAATACTTGCCTAGGCAATAGCATTATATAGTACAAAAAAATCTTCAATATTACAAGAGACTAAATAATCTGTAAAAGTTTTTTTATTATTCAAACTTTTGAATAAGTATATATTTTATATAGTTTAAAAATTATTAATCAGTTCAAAAAAAATATTAAAAAATATTATAGTAACAAATATAGTACTTTAGTTATATTTAAAATTAAATTGCTCTTAAGAACTTTTTCTATTTATCATATATTTTATCAACTCTATCCTAATTAATATCCAAATATCTTTTGTTCAAGATATAAGTTTTATACTAAAGATATTTAATATACTTTCAAATATACTAAGATCTTTAATATACTTTCAAATATACTAAGATCTTTTAATTAATTAATCAAATTATTAAGACTATCAATTAAATTTTTTATTTAAATAATAATCTTAAACCAATCATATATATAACAAGTTGTTGAACTGTTATATGGAATATCAAATAAAATTTTTTCTACATTATCTTTTATTAACTGAATTAAAACAATAATGAAATTCTTAATTCAGTTATATGATATAATCTAAAAACTATATTGCTTTATAATTAATATTTCATCTTTTACTGAAATTAAATAGAATTACAATGACACCTGTCTAAATACATATTGTATATTTGCATGATCTGTATTATTGCATAAAAATAGTTTGATCTCATGTTGGGATTTATAAATTATTTGCATAATATAAATATATATATTCTATTGATTTTAATAAAGTTTCTTAATGCATATATGCATATTTTATTATAAAAGAAAAGATTAATAATATTAGAAAATACATATTAAAAAAAAGATATATACTAATAATTTATTTATGGTTTTAAACTATATGATAATTATTAATGTAAGTAAAATTTGAATAAAATATAAAAAATTAAATTATTTTTTTTATTTTTTATAAAAAATTTTTTAAAAATATTGTTATTAAAATTTTTAAAAACTTTATAACATTTGATAGATATTAATATATATTATTCCCATTTATTTCTATTTATCATTTTTTATTATATTTTCTATATAATATCTTAATATTTTTCCAAAAATTCTCAAAATACCTATGTAATTTTGAATGGCACTGCAAATAGGAGTGCTATAGCTCAAAATTCTAGTTATAAAGCTTTTTTTCTGTTCTAAGTAACTATTTGTAAAAAGACCGGATAAATAACTTTTATTAAGATCCCAAAAGCAATTGAAATAGTAATTTCTTAAGTAATTTGACATTTTTTGTTATGGACAGAAATTCCTTTAATGATTGTAAATCATGATCTTAATACTAAAAGAAATATTTATATATAAACATATATATGCATATTCTGTTTAAATGCATAAAAGTTTATTGATCCCAACAGTATGCATTTAGACAAGTGCCACTGTATATCAAATATTTCAATTTATCCAATTTTTTCAAATAAAAAAACAATAATACCTTGCAAGTTAAAAACATATTCAATATTAATTTATAAGAAGATACAGTATTATCATTAATTTACTTTCTATTGTTATTAACTCATTTATTCAATCTGAATATAACTATTTTAAATATGTTTATTGTCTAATATTCTTATTTTCCAATTTTATTTCTTTTAATACTAAGTAGGTATTTATGATTGCTCAATACTATTTGATAGGATATATTGGTTTAAATTTTCTTTTCAATATTAGTTATATGATTAGCTAATATTTAACTCATTGTATTAATACATAAGAAATGTTTCTTTTACAATATATATCTTATTATATATAAATCAAATAAAAAAATGATGTTTATCTACAAAAAAAATTTTTTTATTGATTTTAATTTTATAAACAAAAATAGAATTAAAAAATCATTATTAAAGATTTATGGAATATGTGTTTATAAAAAAATCCAATTATAAAAGATATTTTACAAAAAAATGAATAGCTATGATATCAAATAATTAATTTTTTATATAATTTTTTTTTTAATAACAATAAACAATTTAATAATGACAAATATCGCAAACGACTTTTTAAAAAAATCAATACTTATTCAATAAAAACAAAAAAAAAAAAGAATTATTTTATATTTAGCCAATAAATAAAATTATAATCAAGCAAAATATACAGTAAAATTTATAGGTATCTTTTTTATGAAATTTTATAAATACGAAATTATCGGATACCGTATATTTTTAATTAATTGATTTGTTATTTTATTAAATTCAATATTTTTTAAAAATATCCACTGTACATATACAGTATTTATTTATAATAATAGTTTTCGATTCTTAGAGAATTTGCTTATCACTGTATACTGTACGTATATTTTCGTTATAAACTAATGAACATACAATTTATGTGCAGTATATAATATGCAATGTTTGTTGACTTTTTTTGTCAAATGTTGGATTTTTTTAAAAGAGAATCGATGGTTTTGCTAATAATTTAAAAATTCAAATAAAATTGACTACAGTAAATACTTTGCAAACTTTTGAAATTTATTTTTGACGTGTGCAATATATGAATTTTTTTACCAATGTCCAAGGAATAAATAAACCCGAATTTTTTTACACTATTGTTTCTTTAATTATCATTATTGATTTTTCTTAAAAAAAATTTTTTTTTTTTTTTTGTTACTCGGGAAATTGTGATACTGTAATATCGGGCATTTGGATACGATGTTTTGTTCAGAAAACCCACAATGTAACAATCGGGAACAATTGTAAACAGTGAACCAACGAATCGACTGCATTTTGTTTATTTATTTATTTATTTATTATTATTTTTTTTTTAAAAAAAAAAAAGAAAACGGTTATCAAACAATCCATTATTATGATGATAACATTTGCATAAATCCATATATGGCTTATCACTCGACATAGATGTCAATGGATAATGCATAAACATAACTAATAAAAATTTTTTTATATTTCGGTCATTCGGTTATTAGAAAATAGACTTTGTTGTTTATCGGACTCTGCATATAACGTGAGAAACATTTTTTTCTCACGAATTACCAACCGAGAACAATGCGAAAGAGGTTTTAGCTAAATTGCGACGACAAACACAATGTGTAATATGACACATAGTCGATAAGAAAAATTACGTAATCAATTTCATAGGCATTATGCAATGATATTATTGATAGCTGACAGATGGAGAGTTTTTTTTCTCTGCACATGTGACATTCCAAAAAAGCAAAGCGCGGGATTTCTTCACGAATCAGTCACAACGAAAAGCAACTGCTAATACATATTCTACATAGCTGATAGTATTAATAGGGAAAGAAAGGAGGTGTGGAGCGTGTGTATGCTTATATGTACATATGGCCAGTGAATTGCGACTCGATGAAAGAACTAACTAAGGGAGACATGGGGCGTGTATATGCTTACATTATAGGATGCAAACATACATACGTACGCACAATATGGTCAGTGGATTGCATGTGGCGACTTTAACAAGCGCACCACGCATTCTTATGTATGTATGCGTCGCTTTTTTCTGGTAGGAATTGTTTCACGAATATGTGTATTCCTCATATATGGAATATCTCTAGTAGAAAGGATGTCATAGATATGCAACGATAAATGGAAAAGCAAAATAAGCTGCCCGCACTCGGAGAAACTTTTCAATAACAATTGACACTATGCAAGTCTATCAGTCACGCATATAAAGAAGAAAAAAAAAAAAAAAAAAATCGTAATAGCATTCTATCGTCTGCAGGTTAGTGAGTGTCTTGATTGACTGCACCCTTAGGGCCGATTATGCTTTGCGTGCATATTATGAAGTGTACCGTATCTACTCCTAAACATTGCTTTTTTCGACCTACCTAATCTTTCCCGTTCAATCCGTATTTGTATGCATTTTGCAGTATCTCGCTGTGCCTTTCAGTTAAAGAAAAATGCTAGAATGTAACATTTTCCGCGGACCAAATGTGGAAACAAGAATTAAAAATTCAAATGAAAATCCTTACCCTTTCGGTACTTATAATCTCTTCCCTATTTAGGGCATTTCTTATCATTTCCAAACTTGAAAAGAATAGATGTGGATTCAACTATTGCGAAACACACCTGATTACTATTTTTAGTGCTATTGTGTTTATCTGGTATTTACTTTTTGCGCCACACCTTATCTAAAGGGACAACCTCCTTCACGATACCTCGCGTGTTATTTCTAACTTAGGGAATCATCACAAAGAAAGCTATTTATGAAAGCGATGCAGTGGTGTCAGAGGAGCAGAGAGAAATTATCCGAGGAACGAAGGCGAATGAGCAGAATACATTTACCGTGGCTCGTGTCTCCTGTATATCAAGCCCACCATGGCACATGGAAGAGGATCACACACGTGGCACGAAGGTTGTTGCTGCGCGCGAGAATATGAAGATCTCAAGGAATATTCACAGAACGTGTAACCGAATTTGTTTGGGAAGAGGAAGAAAGTACACGTGGATTGAATAAGAAACATATAGCAGATTTCTTTATACAATGTATTATAAGTTCAAGTAAAAGGTTGATATGCATGTTGTAGTCATCGTGTGTATCAAATTAAAAATACCAAACGGTGCGACTGACCGATGTAATTTTTTTCCCTTTTGTTCCCACCAATCCGTTTTCGAGATCATAAAACAATGCAAAACCCTTGTGGAGAGGTTAAAATATAGTAGGTAACTGTATGCGCATGCTGAATTTTTGAGGGATTTTGGATCTTTTAATGTAAATTGAATGCATTAAAAATTCGAACAAACACCAACGTCTGACAACAATAGAATCATAAAAAAATCTATTCCAAAACTTGTTACGAATTCTCTCCAAAAAATCGGAAATCCCTAAAATAGTCGGAATCATCATGGTTGTAACAAAAAATTACTGTTTTTGACAATTGTAATTAATCAACCACTACACCCATTGAATATCCTGTGTTTAAACCCGATATACCTTGACAGCGGAAAATCAAATAGTGATTGCTCTTGTCAAACCGGTTATGACAGACGGAATATCATTATTATTTTTTCGTAGATTCTGTCACCGATGCGGTGCACGAGGAGTTGTTTTTTTTTCTTCATTGGAGATACCAAAAATCGATTGCTCAACAATAAACACGATTGTTATTAATTTTTTTTTTAACCACCAAACAATGGATCTTGATGTAACAATATGCAAAATATACAGATTAGATTTTGCCTCTCTAGTTCTCCGGGTTGTCGTGTGAGCTCTTTTTTCGTGTTGACCAAGAAAGACACGTGGAAATGCTCACGTGGAGATAATAGATATGTGGAATACTGTATGTACCAATAATCTAAACCAAATGAGGATTGATAAATGCAACTTGATTTTGACAGTTCGTAACATAAAAAATCCGTACTTTTCGCTATATACTGTGCGGCATTTCTATGAATACCTTTGACCTCTGCTTTCGACAAAGGTTCTTTCTTCTCTTTTTTTGGGGATGGGTGTGAATGGTAGATTATGGCTTGATTGTCAAGCTTTAACTGGTCAAAGGGCATTTTCGGGCGTATTATGATGTAAAACCTACAATACATATTTACCGGTTTGCTCTTCTTTTAGGCAAATCTCGAGTGGCAAGATACGTTACTATAAACGTGGCCAAACAAAGAAGGAAGTTTCATATCTTGGAATTACCACTGACTTTTAACGCAAGATTTTCAAAGTGAAAAAGAATTGCATATGTAGCATATGTTACAATCTGTCGTGACATACTGATAAAGTAATAAAGGTGAGATAGTGTTAAATAATATTCAATTATGGCAAAGTGGAGTTATCGACGATTAATAAAGTAATAGCTGTGCAGAAATTCATGTGAAAAATATATGTCAAAAATTTATATTATGTAACGTAGTAATATTAGATTTTTTGCTTACCTATAAAAAAAGAAGTGGTTTGCTCGAATCCTTTAGTCTGAATGTTCCCAATCACTGACGGGTGACGTCATCACTCCCTCCTTCAATCCATTAATAATGTCTGACATCTCTAAAATAGTCCACCCACCTACACCTTCCGTTGTCGCGTCAAGTGAAAAACCAAACTCCGATGAGCGTGATGACTCTATGCGATCCACTACTAATCCCAAGGGTCGTACTCGTCCTTATAGATGTAACAAATGCCAAAAGGATTTCAACAGGCTGGAGCATCTAAACAGGCATACCAGAACACATACAGGAGAAAAACCTCATCAATGTGATTGGTCTGGTTGCGATAGGAAGTTCTCGAGGTCTGATGAATTGACACGGCATAAACGCATTCACGAAAATGCTTTCAAAAAGACAACAAATCGTAATAAAAGGATGGTTACGGTAGCATTCAAGAACACGACATATGTCATACGTAACCAAGCTCAGGGAGTTCCTCCAACGTCACGTATCACATACATCTTCACTGAATCCACATTAAATCCTCCAAATTGGTCCAAACCATTTAAATGTCCTGTCAGTGATTGCACGAAATCATTCACCCGTCACGGTCATCTTTCTCGACACATCCAGTCTTGCATGCAGAAGAAGGAGTCTGCCAAGAAAAAAGTCCTACCAACACCCAGCCCTTCTCCACCGCCAAATGATTTGCCATTTATGTGCTCCGCAGATTCTCCTCAATATGACCGTCCCCGCCCAATGGAATGTTTAAGGACATATCAGCCAACAATTTCCTCTCAATATCGCCCTGTTCCAATTACTCATCCATCAAATCAACGACAAACCTTAACCCTTAGCGAAATTCTACTCTCGTCATCCGAGGCTTCCCATCGAACACTTCCTCTACCGGTAAGCCAACCTGATAACTACCTTCTAATGAATACCCGATTTGATCTACCAACAACATTGTAAAAAATATGTGTATATATGTGTATTTCCTTTTCTCTTTAATTTTTATTTTTACATCCCCCTCCCCCTAACGTCTTTTAAAAATTCTCCCAAGATACGAAGCGATCGCACTTTTTATGATTGTATATATGAACACGGAATTCCACCTAAGCTTCAAATTCTTATTTTATAAATATTTTTTTTAAACAAGATTCAGTTTTTCCACTACGCAACTTATCAATTATTTTATGACATATTTTCCTTAAAATGTAAATTTCTTTTTTTTTTATATTTTTATTTATCGATCGAACTTATCGTAGATGTAAATTATCGTTTTTCCCTTTGTTTATATCCAGGCTCCCATTAGAAAAATTATATTGCTTAATAATTGAATTCCCTACCACTTGCCTAGATAATCGATCAAACCTCGATTTTCTTGAAGCCTAACTCATTACATTCTTTTGCGTTTGAGTGCAATTTATACCGAATATATAAATTGTTTTTTCATCGGCGAAAAAACTTTGATTATCGTTCATGATTACCATTAAAAATCAAAAAAAAAAAAAAATCCAAAAATAAAATAAAGTAAATAATAATAATAATAATTAAAAAAAAAAAAATTTTTTTTCTCAATTAAAAAAGACCATAAAAGGTCAATCGAGATCGATCCTAGTGCCAAAAGTTGTGTTTACAGATCTGGCATGAAACCAGATTTTGGAATTGAATCCGAATGTTTCTTTGCTTGTTTACGTATCAATGACAAAGTTGACTAAGTTTGACATCCATTCATCTCTTTCTTTTAAATAAGGCGTGACCATATATAGCATCTGATTTTCAGGGTTCGCAATGGATCATGCGGAAAATTTCTCAAGCGTGATTTTTTTTTTTTCATGCATAAGTGTTTGACATTGCGGCCATCACGTGTGGTACCTTATTTGCGAAACAATTCACGCTGCTCAATGTTTAAATTACGAAAATGTAATATATCGGAATTTTAAGTTCTGTATTTTAACAGGCATAACTTATCGAGCCACCGTTATAAAATTGCTTAACTTTAAAATAAATAAATAAACTTATAATATATACTGTATATTAATTAATTAATCGATTATTGAAATTTATTAACCTATTATTGAAATTTATTACAGGCGAAATTTGAAATTTTAATTTTAAAGATTATTTACATCGCCTATATAACGATCATTGCTTTATCATCAATAATGCAAACAATATTAAAGATACTTTCAAGACTCATTTATATTACAAAACTCTATTTTTTAAAAAAAAATAATAATAATAAAATAATAATTTATTTTCTGTTTTTATTTTTAAAAATCATCAATATACTGTATTTATTGGATATTTCTGCATGATATTTTTCGATTAGAAAAAAAATATTATCTTGATTTATGTACAATCACTCTGATACCTATTTTAGGAATTAATTAGAACGATGATATGATTGATAAAATTATTATATCGCGTTAAAAAAGTTTTTTTCTGTTTTTTTTAATTGATTTATAAAATCTTTCAAGTTACATAAATTCGTGATAACATTAATTCTACACATAGCTACAGCCATTTGATTTGTACGAAAAATATTGAAATTTGATTTTACTAAATTATTATATATACAGTATGAGTCATATATTTTTGGAATTTTTTTAACTTTGTATTTTATCTTAATATTAAATAAAAAAA